TTAAGTCATTTGCTCGGGGTCATATAGCTGGCAGGTGGCACAGCTGGATTTCAGACCAGATCTGGTCAACACTAGAATTGTACTATTGTGCAACGTTGTATCTTTAGAGTTTGAGGAATCTATAATTTTGACACCTCTCCCATTTGCTGACAGTGATTCAAAAATAACCTTTATAGGTTCTTTCTCCAAGTGTCATGGGATGTAATTCATCTGGGTTAGGAGGCTTGAACTACTGTAAACATCTAGATGCTCTCATATAAGTGCTTCACACATTCTAGACTTCAAGTGACCCTCATGATTTTACCTGTGTCCACTCTGTCCTTGCAGTTCAAGGATCAGCATTCTTGATTGAATATATAGATGCCAAATAGGTTTCGAAAAATTCTACTTGCACTTTTTCATTCATCAACCTTAAAACAAGTCTGAGCTATGAGCCTCTTTTTTGTTTTAATTCCCTCTCTGACTGGCACTACCCAAAAAGCTCTTTTGGTTTTCAGATTATGTATATATACCTAAAAAACTTGCTAGAAAAAAGTATCCTCATATCTAGTGGGATTTGGTAAATTTTTCAGACCTAGAAAAGAAATTGGCCACAACCTAAATGTAAGTAGTAGAAAAAAATAGATGGAAGCAAAGGAAGTTACAGTAATTAGCTTAATACCTCCTTTGAAAGTTTCCAGATTTCTTCAATGAGTGATGACAGTTTCACCAATTTTAATCGACCAAAAAAATGTTAAATTGTGTTTAGTTATTGTAAAGTGATATAATGTATAATTTCCTTTCAGAGTGTGATATTTTAAAGCATGGAGTTTGAAAGGTATTTACTTAGAGTACTTGAGACTAGTTGAGGCAAAGATATCATCACAAGCATTTAATATAAAAAAGAGAAGCTCCAAGGATGGAATTGAATTAGAGCCAAAATTGGTGGGAAAAAGGAGAAAAGCTCTCTTTGAAACTGTTGCATGGGAAGGGAAACACCAGAGAAAAGGATTTGCTTCATAAAGAAATTGTTTTACACTGGTCATAATCCTGAAGTTAGAACTATCACCCAGATTAGTGAGTAAAATAATCACATTAACCCATAATTATAAATGTAATTTTTAAAACTCAGCCATATATAAGCCAAGTAGTAGTGAGAATATCAGGACACATTGGCGATACATTAGGAATGACAACACACATTATTTTTATCTTTGCTACTTAATTCAGCATTGCTTACTCATTTGTAAAAATAACTGGATTTATTATACTTTATATCACAAAAATGCTGACTTGGAGGTTTTACATAGCTTTAATTTAGTGTTAAGATATTAGTTCTCAACATCAAGAAACTGTGATTTTAAATAATTCTGTAACTTTCCAAGCAGTGTTAGGATATAGAGAGAATTCAGTTATTCCCTTTATTCTTTGATAGCCGTGTTGTTTTCTTTGATCACATATACATATGTTTGATCTGTAAATATGTTTGTATGTATGTGTGTTATATAACTATGCATGTGACTAAATTAATTCCATTCTTCCTAGAATAAGGCAGGAACTAATTGACCATAAGCAGACTATCCTGCTCATTATCTATTAGGTTATACTCAAAGTCTTTTAACCAGTGCATTAACATGCTTTAACCAAGTTTATTGGCTTTACAAATAAATTTAACTTTACCAATTCATTTAACTGAAGTTTACACAGGTAGTCCTCAGTATACTCAAAAATATGCGAACTACTTTGTGTGAACGCCTTTTTTTTTTTTTTTTTTTTTTTTTGAGACCGAGTCTCACTCTGTTACCCAGGCTGGAGTGCAGTGGCGTGATTTCAGGTCACTGCAACCTCCGCCTCCCAGGTTCAAGCAGTTCTCTTGCGTCAGCCTCTTGAGTAGCTAGGATTACAGGCGCACGCCACCACACCTGGCTAATTTTTTGTATTTTTAGTAGATACAGGGTTTCACCATATGGGTCAGGCTGTTCTCAAACTCCTGACCTCGGGATCCTCCCACCTCAGCCTCCCAAAGTGCTGGGATTACAGGCATGAGCCACTGCACCCGGCCGTGTGTGAACTATTTTTATATTCTGAGAGGCAGTACAGCCTATAGGTCTCAATCCCAGACGGGCTGGGATTGAATCCCAGATCTACCCCTACTGACCTTGAGCAAATTACTTAATTTCTCTGTGCCTCAGTTTCCTCATCTGCAAATTGGAGATAATAGTGTCTACTTCACATTATAAGGATTAAACTAATTAACATAATTACATACCAGTGCTTGCCACTTGATAAACCTTGGTAATTATCTGCAGAAGTCAGGAGGTGTCCCCAAAGGCTATGTGGAATAACAAAATCAGCTTTTATTTCAGAAGTTATCACTATGGAGATACCGTTGGCAAGGCTTCAGCCAAATGCTGGAGAGATTAATTTCAGTAAGATTTGTGTCAAGGAAACCAGATAAGAGGCTGCTTCAGTAATCCAGGCAAAAAATGAAGAGGCCTGAATTATATAGCAAATGGTAGTGGGATCCAAAGCAAAAAATATCAAGGCAGTATTAAATATAATACACAGGCCTTGATCACTATTTGGCTGTGAGAGCTGAAGAATTCATAAAGGACTCCCAGGTTTCAGTCTAGGAGGACATTCTCTAAAACAGGATATAGAAAGAGGTCCAAAATCTCAAGTACCTGTATACATCCAAGAGGCGATGCCCAATAAGCAATCTCGTCACACTCCAGAAAAGCTGGATTGCAGAGATGCCAAACTGAGTAAGTAGTACAGGAAACAGTTGAAGTCAAGGAAGTAGGTAACACTGGATTTGCATTTATCCTCTTTTTCAATGACCAGGCAATCAAAGCCTACCTCAGACTAGAACACGTCATCTAATGCAGTTCTGAGCATTAAAGGGAAATCATATTGAAGATTTCAACCTCGAAGTTAATTGTGAAGTTTGTTGCAGATGGCTAATGCTTCAAAGGTAGAAATTGTTTTCTCAGTGATTTGTGTGAAAACATGAACATGAGTCCCTGGTGCTACATTTGCCATCACAGATTGCACAACTGCCAATGATAGGCCCTTCCTTTGGCTCCTGGGGACTTAATTTCCCTAGGGAACTATTGTGGTTATTCAACTTTAAGACCTTGTAGGAAGAATCAGTTATTTCTCTCAGGGGTCTTACTCAGAGCAAGCAATATGGAAGTAAATAGTCACTAAGGAGAAACAAGAAATAAGCTTTTAGCAAAATGTACGAATAATTTTTTTTTAAGTGGCCAAATCCTTACAAAAATTATAAATTAGACTAAGATAGCTATCCTGTTTTGGATCCTAATCATTATAATCTACATGAGAATACATAATTCACACCAGTTTTGCTGTTCCCAACATAAAGAAAAAGGTGCATTTCACTGTATGCTAATTTCTGCATGCAGTAGACGTACAAAAGACTGTTTCAGGCAGGGAGAACTCAAAAGTAGAAATGAGAATGAGTGTAGGCCCAGTTCTGCCAGTACCTACTGCTGCGATCTTGGCCAAGTCTTAAGGTGTATAATGCAGATAATCTCTTTTTTTGCCCTATTGTCCCAGAGTTCTGTGATCAAAAGAAAGCATTTAATGAAACTGCTCTTCGAAAAATTATTTTTAAAATTATTTAAAGGTTGTATTATAAATACAACCTTCCCATCATTCAGGAGTGTTTTTTCACCTCAGAAAGTTCATTCGCTAAAATAATATTGCAAATATCAGTGTCTTGTTCCTAATAAAAATAATAGCCTACCACTTACTAAACGCCTAATATATGCTCTCTGTAAGGTGCTCAATGGACTTGCTTTAAATAATCACAACTACTTCAGTATCTAAGATACTAAGATGTTATCCTCTTTCTGGGAAAACTGAGGCTTAAAACGGTTCAGTGACTTGGCCAGTGTCACATGCCTGGTAAACTATAGTTTAGCCTTTAAATACAGTTCTCTCTGACCCTGAAGTCTATGTTGTTTCAACGATTCTATGTTTTGAGATCCAAAACTGTATTCTGGAAAGAACTCCAGGTGAGGAAGACTAAAACCAAACCGTTATTTTTCAGTTCCACCATCAGAGTTGAGCCAGAAAGCAGCACATTGAATCTATGCTCTGCACAATCTTGATTATGTTCTCACCAGTTCTCATTCCTGATTTAAATTGGGCAACAGTAAACAACTGATTCAGGACTGCTAAGTCATACATACCTTTAAATATTTAGCAAAAGCAGATTTCAAAAGACACTTAAAATGTATTGCAAAATGTACAGCATTTATTCACATACAGACAAAAAGGCACAATTCTACTAAATAGTTCAACAAAAAAATACAGCTGTCCTCAACTAGTTTTATAAATACTTTCAAAAAGGGGGTAGAAATAAATACAGGATTGGGTCATGTAATATAAAATAGTCATCTCTACATATACTTTAATTTGATTTTTAACTCTTCATGCACCTTTTTTTTTTTTCAATTTTAGCTGAATGGACACCAAGCTAGGCACATAGTGAAAAATCCTCTGTACAAGGTTACAAATGTAATGACAAGTTTGTCCATTTCAAAATAATTAAGATTTGTACACAACACATAAAACCCTTCATTTAGATCTTGTGTTTAAAACCTAACAAATGACATTCCAGGCAACTTTACAAAAGTTTAACTAGCCTACATTTTGACATAATACATTAATCATAATCAAAGATATTTCTTGGTCAGGATGCACAAGGAAAGATAAAGCTTAAAAAAAAAATGCAAATGGTTCCATACTAATAGAATGCAAGTGGGTGTTTGGGCTGGTTGCTGCTTATGACCACCTCATACAGAGTTCCCAGCATGACATGAAACTAATTCACAAAGCTATCATTATACTGTCAGAGAAACCGTGCTCTATACCATTTGCATTTCGAAGCAGGAATAAAAAGTGTGGGCTTTTTATTTTTGTGTGTTTTGTTTTTGTGTGGGTTTTTTTTTTTAATATTTTTTGTTTTGTTTTTGTTTTGTTTTTTGGTTCAGCATAACTTGGAACATTTGAAAGCTTTTCAACCTAAATGTGGGGAAAAAACAGGTAAGGCATTATTTTTGCACAAAACTAGCATTCCTAATAGTGCAAATGAATCTGATACCTCTTAAAATGGTGAGAGGTGATACTATTAATTTAGATTTTCTTTCTATGGCTTGACAAATTATCCCTCTATAAATTCTACTCTCACCCAGAGCTGTTGCTGTAGTCAAAAGATAACTGTAGATAAAGTCCAACCTTCTCCTGTATCCAGCAAAAGGTTTTTGCTCATATGCAAAAAAAATCTAATTTTTAAATTATGCTACAAGTGAATATACAACTTGGATTCATAAGAACCTTCTATTATCTGTAGCAACAAGCTGATCTGGACAGCAGTCTTTCAAAATGAGCCCCATAGCTCAAAAATAGTCAGTCAGTCTAAAAACCTGCGTCATTCTTTCCCCTCCCCTGAATTAGCTACTAAAATGACTTCAAAAGTTAAGACTTGGTTTGAAAATGTCATACATACAATAGGGATGCATCAGATCTACTATTTGATCATCTGATAAAACTTGCATAGCAAGATGGAATTCAATAAGCCTTTTTTGTTGTTGACAATCATCTGGAAGACTTGAAAGTTAACCGCAGAACTCAAAGCATTATTCATTAAGTATCATAATGTCCCTGCCATATGGAAACAGATGTATAAATGAATCAGGAATCTGAATACTGGTATTAACAAACTAAAGAGAATTTAGGGGAAGTCGGGCTTGTTCCAAAGGCCCATAATTCTGTATCTCATTGCTATTTAAACTTTCCTTCCTTAAGTTTGATTCACAACCACATTGAATTCCAAAGAAAATTAACAGGACCTAAACACTATCCACTGTCTTAATACATATGCACTACAGTGAGTGCAAAAACAAAACATTGTACTCAAATTTAATGCTAAATTTATTATTGCTGATAACTTACTAGTTATTGCCATTTGCAATTAGAAAGTCCAAGTTACAAATTAGAGTTTAGAACTCTGACTACAGAAAACCTATTCAAGGGTACACTTCAGTCTCTTTCCTGTATAACCTTGGTCAATAGTAAGAGCTTATCGCAACTTATTGCCTTTCTATTGTTTTTAAAATATAACCTATTTCGCTTTTTCTCTTTTTTCCTTTTTCTTTTTTTTTTTTTTTTTTTTTTTTTTTTTCCTTTTTCTTAAGGAATCCGTTCATGTTGGAAGCCCGGATTCCCTGACATATGCACTAGTGGTTGGCTCTGGGAAGTAAGAGTCACCAGAGTCTGGAAGTTCTTCACTTGAACTTGAGTAGCCATTGTACTGTTGGAAGCCAGATGGCCAGGTACTGGCAATGGCCAGGGAAATCCCAAGCTGGCTCAAGAGCCAGTGGTTAGGGAAGAAGGTCAAGTGGACTGGTAAAAATTGTACTTCAACTGCCCTTATTCATAGATACAACTTTCCTAACAGTCTCACTCTCCACCAGTCCCATATCCACAACCCACTCACAGGCTTCAAGCAGCAGGACCTTGCTATATTACCCTAAATCTCCACATTGCAGCAGCTCTACCCTGTCCCCTCAGCTCCTTCAATAATGACCTTTTAAAAATTCTCTTCCCTGACTGCTATATTTACACATAAATTTCCTAGTGTTACTGAAGCTTCAGAGCTGCTGCCTGTATACTATAATGCAACAAAAATAGCCTTGAGGGCCAAATATAAATATGATTTCAAGATCTACCACAGTCCTAGAAAATAAACTTTATGGGCTATGAATGGTACCATGAGGGTTTCTCAAGAACCATATCTGGTTCCCTATATTCAGGTAACCACGAGTTTGTGCTTTGGGAAGAATGCAGAGGGCTATTAAAATTCATGACGCTTATTTAAGCCTTGCCTTCTTTAAAACTTATTTCATTCTTATTTTAGTGTTTAGTTCAGGTTCTAGTCTTAGCAATGTCTTACGGTTACAATCTACTCTTCTCTTTCCTCAACAAGTTGCAAATAACACAAACTTCTCACAAAAATGATTTAAAAATGACTCTGGAAAAAAATTTATCTGAATTGCAAGTAAATGTGTTTGTGTAGCTCAGGATTAATGGGTTTCTGCTTCTCCCTCCATCAGAGGTCTCCTCTAGCACACCCAATGACGAGCCCAAAGGGCTTCCGTGTCATCTCTGTTGCATCAAGAAGCCAAGATGCTTCTCCTGATAATGTCTGTCCTCCTGCTGATAGTGCTGCTGGTGTGTATACATTTCTTTTCTGATGCCTCACTCTCTGAGTCACTCATTTCCACATCGGGGACATACCCGTCATTCTCATTGTCGGATTTTAATTTGCTTTTTGCCCTTTCCTTGGCTGGAACTCGGCCTAAGCCCAAATATGGGTAGTCTGAGTGCTGGTGGCAGGCCCCATCGTGGGCCTCTCCCTGCTGCTGCCGTTCCCCCTTCTTTGGAATCCGGAATCCTCCCCAGTTTTTCACTGGGCTGGCAGGTGTTGTAGGCACTTTGACTGCAGTCTGATTATAGTTTACTTTGATTAGGGAGCCATTGCACTTGGGCACTATCTCCTTCCTTGTGCCAGGTGCTGACTGCCCCACTCCAGGGGAGGTGGCAGCTCTTGTGTTGTCCAGATGCCTCTGGGACACATCTGTGGACCTGAGAGGCTTGTGACTCTGTTTAAAAGATTTGTCCTTTAAGTCTCCTTTAATGAGATCACAATGAAAACGATTGTCTCTTCTTTTCCCGTGGTCTGGCATCACCACACCATTTTTCTGTTGTGCTGATATGAGACGTGCTTCTGCAAAGGTCTTTTCCAAACCCAAAAAGCTCTCTGGGACCACCATCCCCTCCCTTCTACCACAGAGGTCTGGCTGCTTCAGCAGGGTTTTGCCTTCCCTTCCAGTGCTATTCTGCAAAGGATCTCGCTTATGGGGCTTTTTCAGCGAATGAACCAAGGAAGTACCCATTTGTTTTCTGAAGAACGCAGAATGCCACTTCAAGTCCTCTATCTTGGGAGCATCAGGGCCCACAGAAGGACTGTTAAACAAAAGCATGTTTTCCAGTGAGGAGGAGGAGCAGGAAGAAGAAGGCACACCTATAAACAAAACCACAAATAAAGAAAAATTACAACAGAAGCAAATCCATAAGAATAAAATTCTAGACCCTCAGTGTGGCCCAATTTATGTGAACTCCCCACCCAACAACACAACACTTACACCACCAAGTTTGTACAAATTTGGTTTTTATAGTGAAGAGATGACCTGCCTTGAGAATCTCCATTCAATCTGCAGACTCAATATGCAACATTTTCTGAAACAGCTGAAGCTCACATAATTTTTCAAAAAACTGTACCTCCTCAAATAAATACATGTTCCTCCGAACAAAATAACTGATCTGATTTTCAGAGGGGACTCCATGCAGAACCCATCAGGTGGTTGATGGCTGCCTCTGCTCCCTCTACCTGGTTACAGAGCAGCAACTGCACTGCGCCCCTCCACGGTCCAGTCTTCTGCCTCCAGTACGAGACTAAGAGTACCCAAAAAGCAGGGTCCAGGGTTTCTATCTCTAAGTGTCTATACCCTCACAGGGTTATTATGAGGACAAATACATGTAAACATGTGAAATGAATAGAGGAAATGTTTAAAATAATTCTTTTTTTTTTTTTGAGACAGAGTCTTGCACTGTTGCCCAGGCTGGAGTGCCGTTGAGCGATCTCGGCTCACTGCAAGCTCCGCCTCCTGGGTTCACACCATTCTCCTGCCTCAGCCTCAGAGTAGCTGGGACTACAGGTGCCCGCTACCACGCCTGGCTAATTTTTTTGTACTTTTTTAGTAGAGACAGGGTTTCACCATATTAGCCAGCGTGGTCTCGATCCCCTGACCTCATGATCTGCCCGCCTCGGCCTCCCAAAGTGCTGGGATTACAGGCGTGAGCCACTGTGCCTGGCCTTAAAATAATTATTGACACATAGTAAGTGTTCCAAAAAATATTCATTATTATGTGCAAAATACATCTGTGGGATTCAACTGAATTGTCATTCAACTGGAAGTAAGTTAAACTGATGTTTTTCAAATTTTTTTGATGCAAATCACAGTGACTAAATTCCACAGCATGACCTAGTAAGCGTTCACATTTCACGAAATAATATTAACCCTCATCACTTGATAATACACTCTGACATTTCCTATTATACTTTACTTGTTTTTAATGCTGGTCATGATCCACTGAATTCATCTCACAACCCACTAATGAGTTGTTACCCCTAGTGGGTGAATTCATTAGAGTTTGTCATAAAGACCATGACTCTACAACAGCCTCAAGAACATCTAGAAAGAGCAGTTCTCATATTTTCTGTCTCCCATAAGATATGAACCACCAAGAAAACAAGGTTCAGCCCCAGGGTATGAGACAGGAGGCCATATGAGAACCTAGGCTCACCAGACACAGACACTGCGAGCAAATGAAACATAGCTAGCGACTCAGAACACAGAGCCGTCATGACCACAGGAAGAGGTATTTCACAACCTGCTGGTTTGGAAATGCTGCTTTCTCAAGAATCAATCATTAGAATCAACCTTCACATCACACTGAATATATTTCTTTTACTCAATCACCTGCCACGGGAAAAGAGAATGGTAAGAAGAGGCTAACATTTTCTGAACTCTGATTTCTATCTCCTTAACTGTAACCCATGTCTCTAGACAGCCTCCAACTCATGAACCCCCCATAAGCACTGTTGCCACTGAGGACTCAGCCAAATGACCCTACCCACTCTCAGAATCACACAGTTTAAACCCTGGACCCTAAATGACACATAAATCATGACCATCTGCTCTACTTTAGGCAGGAGACAGCCTTTAGGCATGAATAAGAACATAACTGAAGCCTAGGACTGGAAAAAGAAAAAAAAGCACCCTAAAGGGTTTCAACTGCATTACTCAACAGCATCCTACAGGAAGATAAATGTTTTCAACTGATCATACCTATGGTTCTTATCTCAGAATGAAAGGAGGATTTGTTTTCCTTTTCTGAAATAGTAGGATTTCTGAATGCAGATCTACATTACAGCTCTGGTACCACAAAACTACTCCCAGCCTTATTAAGAATATCATTCGCTCACCCAGTAAAAACCTCAGCCATGAAATGCAAAAACCTGCCTGCAATATCCATGAGAAATAACTCAAATGAAACCAGATGAAAATGCTCTTTATGGCTTATTTTTACAGGGAATCACTCATTACATAATGACCTAAGAGTTGCAGAAAGCCCTCCAATGGCACAACTCCATAGGCACAACTTGGATCAGTGATCCCAGCTCGGCATTTGCTGCTGTAGGCTCGGTGATCTGCACCAGACAGTCTTCCAAGAGAGTTAAACAGATCTCATTTATTTGTGTTCAGGTAGGAATCATGAAGAGAGAGTTCACCTTAGGAAGTCTGAATTGAACTACTTTTACATATGACACCCTACTTAGAAAATTTATTTTTAAAATCTTAACAATTAAACTCCAAGTTCCAGCTAATAATATACACTTGATTCACCTGGAAAATACTTAATCTTGGGAAGAAAATATCAAGGATGTCAATAAGTTATTGCATTCAAACTATGTAACACTTCAAAAACATCATTTAAACCTCCCTAAACCGTTTTTTATTTCTTCAGATGACCCAGCTCCCTCTAGTCGCACATAATTGGCTAGAGAAACCAGAATTTGGATTTCAACGCAACAGGTTATAACAACTTCTTTGTTGTCTCTGTGCACCATAATAATCTAGATGGAGTGACAAAAAGCCACAAATGCACAAAAACAAGAGTAAATCAACTATGATTACACAACGCAAGCACCAAGAATGGTGCTGCTATAACTTTAAAGGGCAGTCCAAGGCAGGAGAGA